GAGAGAGAGATTGTGTGTGTGTGTGTGTTGTGTGTGTGAGAGAGTGTGTGTGTGTGTGTGTCTGTGTGTGTGTGTGTGAGAGAGAGAGGTTTAACGGTTTTGCTGAAGTCGCATGTCTGAACCTGCAGCTTTTTTTGCTGTATAGCTGCAGTTTTTTAACGGTTTATCAGATTTCAGATGCACCTGCTTCACCTGATGTGCGTCGCTGGCATAAACAGACACGCATTCGTGTGCAGATATTGCTGAAGTTAAGGCCTGTGTTTAAATGATCTTTGAGCAGGTTTGTATGACTAAGATCTTAAGTGTTTATGTATTCAAAAGAGTCATTTCAGACCAGTTTCACCATTTTGTTTATTTTACAGGTAAGTATGAAAACCTCATACCAATGTGAGAAAAATCATGTTAACAGTGTTTAAAAAATATTTAAAAAATGATTATGTGCTTCACGTGAAAGTTAAGCTGATCTTCCCTGAAACATATAAACTCCATTGGTTATAAAATAGTCTCTCATTTACTGGCTTTATTTTAGATTTCTGACTTTAACGGTGAATTCTCTTCCTCAGGTTGTGTTTGCTGCGGCTGCTCGTCAGTTTTCTCTTCATGTTGTGTTTTCCGTGTCTTTTTGTCTGTGTTTGATGCTGAATATTTGAGGAGGGGGCGGAGACTTCTGCAGCATCAGCGGAAGGGGCGGAGCCTTCCACACATATACCTGCTTTCACATCAGCAGTTGTTTTAGAGTCAGTGGAAGCTGTTTCTGTGAAGTCCGTGTGTTGGCTCGCATCAGATGCTGGACTTCGAACTGAAGTCAGAAGGATTGTTTCTTGCTCATGACAGACATGGTCTGAAGCGCCAGACTGAGCCAGCTGACAGAGAGCGAACGCGGCTGTGTTCTCTACAGGTAAGTGATGGTCTTCTTGTGATGTTACGGTACCCACAATCCCCTCATTCATCAGGCCGCTGTCTGATCGAGTCGTCGTAGACAGATTCAGAGGACTGTCTCTCCTGGAGAGGTTGAGAGGAACCAAAGTATCCTCATCAAATCTGTCATTTTTACTTTCCATCTCTCTGGATGCAGATGATGCCCTGGGCACAGAAACAAGAAATAAGTCAATATATTTCCTTTTTCACTGTTTTGCTTTTTAAACTATTTTATTTGTATCTATTAATTTAAAAATAGTTTGAATTATAATTACATAAATTGTAAGAAATTTAAAAGGAATAATTTTATAATTAATTATTCTCAAATTTTCAAATTTGATTTGTATTTATTATTTAGTACAATTATCCATATTTGTAATATTATAATTATGTATTATAAAAATATACATAATATATTATCTATAATTATTTATTATATTTAATAATTTGTAGAAGATCTGACCTAAGGGTGATGGTTTTTTTATGTAATTTTAATATAATACTTTGTAAGATTATCAATAGCAATTTATAAAAATGTAATTTTAAATGATAAAAAAGTATAATACATTGTAAAATTAATACTTGTCTTTAATAAATATATTTTTTTTATTTATACTAATCTGACCTTAGAGAGATTATTTCATATTTTAAATGCAATT